TTTCCTCAAGAACTTTGGCAATTAAATTATCAAATATTAATACCAAAGTATCACATTCAACAATTTTAAGACATTTGACCAATATGGGTTACAAAAATAATTTACCTTTAGAAATACCTATGCTTACTACTGCTCATAAAGAAGCTTGTATTATTTGGGCAAAAAAATGTCTTGATGATAACTGGAAAAAAATATTATTTTCTGATGAAACAGCATTTCAACTATTCAGAAATACAATTACTCAATGGTATAAAGGTGCAAGATCAGTTAAAAGAATGCCTAAAGATCATACTAAAATCTTTGCATGGAGAGGATTTTGTACAAAAGGAAAAACTTCTCTTTTTTGTTTTAAAGAAATCATGAATACAAAATTTTATATCAATATTTTGTAAAATCATAAATAAGAAATTAATAGACTATTTGAAAACAATTGGCACTTTCAACAAGATAATAATTCTAAGTATACAAGTAAAATTGCGAAAGTATTTTTAAAGAAAATTTTTTTTAAAATTATTGATTGGCCTTCTAATAATTCAAATTTAAATTCTATTGAAAACCTTTGGACTATCACTAAAAGAAATGTAGAAATGAGATTACCAAAAAATATTTTAGAATTAGAACAATTTATGATAGAAGAATGGGATAAAATTCCAAATAAGGTTTTAAATAATTTTATAGATTCAATAAAAGAGAGATGTGAATTAATAATTGAAAATAATGGTGAAAGAATTAATTATTAATTATATATTAATAAAATCTCTAGGTTTTTAGCTTTATTTTGATATATTTTTTATTAATTTCTATGCAGTAGTTTTTGAGTAATGAATAAATAAAATATTCCAAAATTTTTTGCATCACACTGTATCTCAAGAACCACAAGGAAAAAAATCAGAGTAATAATCAACAAAGCACTATTTGTGGCATATCTCAAATCCACTGACCTGCCTCTTTTCAAGTTCTGGCAAGTCATCCAATTGCTGGAGTATAGATTAAACTTTTTAATTGACCCTACCCTTCCAAAAGTAGACCATAACGAGATCTATAATACCTGTGAGAAACAATCAAAAAAAATCTGCCAGATCTTTCAAAAAATTCTAAGGATGTTCCATCCTCAATTAAAGTCAGATTATCCAAAGCTATTCCTCTATTTTCAACCAAGAAAGTTAATAAAGTAGCAAGTAGCTTGAGAGCCTTCCACAACTTCGACATCCTTTCACCAGTATACTTTATTAAAAAACCAGACCTCTCTAACAAAGTTGAGTCTGAGAAGGAAGATGACAAAAAAGGTAGCATGGAAACATTGATAACAGGTGTATTAGGCACTAGTCAAGTTGATAATAATAAATATAGAGTTTATTCATATGAAGAAAACGAATAGTTTCAAACTTCTATTGGTCCAGATACTATGAAATCGAAGGTCACTGGTATATAGGCTTTACAAAAATATCTTCACCTAATATTGATACCTTTTGGTTTCAGCATCTAATATCGAATAACTATTCAAATCCAGCACTGCACAACAAATGAGAAAGATGCCATGCAAATACTTGAATCAGAAAAAAATACTTGTGACTGTGAAAATGAATTAAGAAATCTTTTGATAATAACAGATTCGATCAGGTCAATGTATTGACAAGAAATAGGGATAGTGTGCAAAACTTACCAAAGCTGGAACGGGCAACGCTAAGCAATAATATATTGAACGCGAAATTTACGAGCAAGAATTAGAAGAATTCATCGTGGCGAGAATGTCGCCAGTTGAAGATGAATGATAAACCTGTGCCAGCATATAGTCTAATTTATGCTTCTGTCAAAACTATTTTGCCTCCAGTAGCAACAGCAATACATAAATCTGTAATTGATACCGAATCGCCAATGTTTACACAAAGTCGGCACTTAATATTTAACAAAAAGTGCAAGCTGCTAAATAGATCTTAAAAGATTTCTAAAATGTTGAAGATGGTATTGATTTTACTGAGAGTGCAGACGAATATACCTGTTGTTATTTTGGGAAGGCCGGATAAAGAAAGGTAATGATGATTATGCGTTATTGTTTGTTTAAGAAAATATTATCAACTCAATTCTGATTTGACAAGTCTGATCGGATCTAATCATATGGTAATGTTGAATTTTTTCCCTTATTTTCAAGGAATGATGTTTCGCAATTCATAACTGAAGTCCAGTAAAATGCTAAGAGGGAGAAACCTGGATATTCTTTGATAAAAGAAATACATGCAATAACATTGGTCTTCTAGTGGACCTAATAGCTCATTGAATATATCGTGAGAAACCGATTTCATATCTGAATATTTGCCGCATGAAATCCTCACCATTTGCGAACAAGAAGTGTCAGTGTGACTGGTTTAGAAGCTAAAAATTTGAAGAGCAAAGTAACCTTGTATATGAAGTAAGACTACCCCAATCAAATTCTTGATTTGTTTGGGATTATTATATGCTTAAACAGAGTGCGAAGAGCAGTATATTCAGTTAATGATAAAACACAATTGAAAGGGTTGGAAGAGTTGGTTCTCAGAAAATTATTATTTGCCTCGCAACAGTTTATTCAAGAAGTAGAGCGTAATGTCAAACATGTTATTATTAAACTTATCAAGTTCTTTTAAGAGTTTGCAAGATCACCCGCTGTAAGGGTTTGTCCTATGGCTGAAGATTTGCCTAACATACATGTTCGTTCCTTTATATTGGAATTGGATCTTTGTTATTAGCCAAGATTGTATGAAAAGTCATTGCGTTTGAAATATCGGAAATAATGGTTAACTGTTTAGAATTTAAATATTTGTACGGCTTTAAGTTTATATTTTGCTCTTTATTTACTCAATATATTATAAAATTTTATATATATTAATGATTATTATAATTTAATAATAAATTTTAAAATATAATAAAGTTTAGCTTCATATTTAATGGTTATTCCCATTACAGTACATCGAATATTGATGAAAAGTGTCATTGACCTTGAAAACTTCATTAATTGTATAAATATAAAAAACTTCAGTAGGTTAGCGCACGAGGTAGACAAAGTAAAAAAAAAAAAAATAAAAATAAATCATACATTTGATACCCTGTATCTCTGACCAACAAAGATTGAAAATTTATGCTTTTTTTTTCATAATAAAATTATTTTAATAAAGTTATAGAATTGTTTATTAAAATCAAAATCAAATGAAATAGAATAAAATAATTTTACTTAAAATGACCGTCACAACATTTTTTATTCTTTAAACTCAAACTGTAAATATTGAATAGGTCAACGTAAGCAAATGATCTGACCCGAAATGTAAATTTCGGGTTGAGTTTTGAGTCAACCCGAATCATTCGGAACATGAGTTACCATGCAATAATAGATGTGAGAAAAATAGGACAACTTGTCCAGGTCGAAGTGCTACCACAATTTTGAGTTGAGGGAAACAGGTTCTCCACCTTCGAAGTCTCTTTGGGTAACTAAGCAATAGAGAGAATTTGCCCCATCATGCTTAATCTAATGGAAGTCACTGATCGTATTAAAATTAATCACAATCATGGGAAAAATCTAAAATGGATGTGGTGAGAAGGACACCAATTAATAATGTTGGTCTCTATTAAGATCATAAAATTTGAGAGAGTTTCAAGAATACTGGCATCACTTCCTGAATGAGCATTTCTATTAACAGATATGGTGTGGTTAAATTGTACCTAATCTTTACTTCTTTAGATGAGGAATACTTAACTACTTGTTTTTCAGATAGCAAATCTTGTCGGAAATAACAACCCAAATCCCAAATTGAATATAATGCTAGAAAAAAAAAACTTAAGATTAGAATGTCTTTTATAGAAACTATACTTCGACATCCACTAAAATAACTTAAAATACACTTGTCATGGGATTGCATGGGAGGATATGTTCTGATTTTTTAGAATACTAAGAGTCAGGTCCGGAGCACTGTGTCGAGAGACAATAACTGTCCCCATTCTTTGATCCCAATATCTTCGTATTTTTTTTCTCAACTTAAATAAATGACATGTTTAACAATGAATGATATGTATTGCGAAACGATTAGATTATTGAGTCGAGTCACCAAATGGCGATTATGTGTTTGTTTCACCCCAAAACTTGCCGAAACAAACTCATGTCAAGTAACTCGGATAACTTCCCTATCACTAATGTACCACATACTTTCGACGGATCAAAAAATTACATCAAGTGAAGTAGGAAAGTGACGACAGATAGTAAGTTATCTTCCAGTTTGCAAGATATCCTTTTTTTTTTACTAAAGCCATGGGTTTACTTCGGTAACACAAGTAGCTACCTTTATAACTCTGAGCCAAAGAGTCCAGACTCAACCTTACTCGAAGATAAATCAGGTTAATCCTGAGTAAAGGAGCCCGTATTGACCGTAAATCCTAGAGACACACATGGGGCGTGTTTCTTCTGAATGTCCGGTACCATCTACTTCCGAAACATGCACAGGCATATTTTTTCAGCTTCTTGCTAACCATCCATCTACCAAACACACGAAGCGTTTCTCAGCTTTTTGGTAACCGTCCACCTAGCAAATACACGAGGTGTTTCTCGACTTTTCAGTATAACTTAACTTGTCTATTCCAAAGCTTAAAAGACGTTGTGACTAATCAATACAGTCAACTCTCGATAAAAGAAACTGTGTACAAATAGTCTATATATGTTGATGATCAATGCATTAATTGAAAGTA